CAAAACAAAAAACAAAAGATGACAGAAGAAAGAAAAAAAAAAAAGAAAAAGAAAAAAAGAAAAAGAAAAAGAAAAGAAAGAAAAAAGGACTGGAAATGGAATAAAGGCAAGGAGAAAAAAATAGATAAATAAAAGAAAAGAACAAATAAAGTAACGTGCCACAACCAATTCACATTATATAATTACTCTATAGGGTTAAAAATAGAATAAATATGGTCCAATATCTTGCCCATCCCCTTCCCTTTCATCAAATCAAGTAGCGTGTAACACTTATCATCTCTTATAATAGATCGTTAATTTATTACTTAAAAGACTTCAAACCTTAATAGGTCCGTTTAATACTAACTAATTTCGTGTGTCTAAATGATTGCAAATGTCAAGACCTATTGTTCGAGCTGAGTTTCGATGTCTAAACTGGGCCTAAAAAGCTGATCTAGTTGAGTAGCGATATCGTTAAAATAGAGAGTATGCGGCACGTTACAGTCACTTTAAAGATAGAAAATGTCGACGATCACCTTACTACAACAAAAACTGATCTAGTTGAAGCTGATCTAGTTGAGCAGCGATATCGTTAAAATAGAGTGTATGCGGCACGTTACAGTCACTTTAAAGATAGAAAATGTCGACGATCACCTTACTAGAACAAAAACCGGCACGAATGAGTTTGCGTATGAAATTTTGAAATTGTATCTAAAAGATAAAAAATTGCTACATTATGATGATCGTCAATGTGACATACAGATAAGGTATCCAGATGCCTCTGACCTCGAGTCCATAATTTCTACCACGATCCATGTTTTCCAGTCCTTGTTTTAGACCATGCCATATGTTTAAGCTGTACCCTGATCGCGAACTTTGAGGAACCATCTAGTCACGTAGTACTAGAGACAGACCCTATACTCGATATCATTGGGGGGGTTTTACGCACCCCTCCACCCTCATTTATCTAATTGTCCGTCCCTAAGTAGTTTCAGGAAAACTTTTAACACACATTACTATAATGATGAATTCTAACATAAAGAATAAAATAATTTAAAAGTTAATTTAAAAAAAAATTTTTTTTTAAATTATAAGCAAATCCAATTTTATGCAGTCCACTGTATGTTATGTGGGATTTCATAACTTAGAAGGTTTTCTATTGAGATCTGCTAAACCTGGTCTCTGGTTTAGTATCGATGTATAACCTATTTTAAGGTCTAAATATCGTATAACTGTGAAAGAGGCTGGATGCGGACGTGCCGGTCCATGGTCATGACCTTGAAGTGCAAAAACCATTTCATTGGATGTACAGTAATCTTTCGCGCTATGACGGGTTGAACGGATGTCGCGTCGATTCCGTCCGAGCAATGTACCAAATTGGAAGAACGTCAAAATAACAAACAGGAATTGATTAGAAATGGTATTTGTACGTCTAAAGCCTCCTAGGTTGACAAGTATCGCTAGTTAAGTGTATACCCATGATATAATATCACAAATGTCGGCCTTCAAGACATTAAAATCATTACACCTGTTTTGCTAAAAAAAACAATTAATCCCTATTTGTTTATTTGTTATTTTTCATTATTTTTTATATGACATAAAATTTATTATTAAAATTTATTAAGATAATATTTATTTAGTTTTATTAATTGTATTTCTTTTCCTTGTATAGGCCCTTTATTTATAATATGATCGATACATGTGAACAACTTATTTGAACTTGGTGTGTGAAATAGAGAATCTGAATCTGCTTCGGGTATTTTTATTGCAGCGCCTGAGTTCATGCTTTGTCTGCAAGGAGGAAAGTTTGATCAGCCAGATCGATTATTCAACAGGTAAAGTGTTAGTTATCTTTGGTTAGATGTAATTATTGCGTACGCATCCATGTTGGTGTTGGCTGAAACAATATGCACTAGCGGTAACGGTTTTCGTATAAGCAGTTTACGAGTGTTAAAGGTATTGTCATGTTTTAATGACGTTAAGGTCAAAACAAAAAAAGATACTAACCCAGAGCGTAGAGGCAATGGACGGAAGCCAAATAACTTTCCACTCCCCTCCCCTCCGTTCAAAAATGCCTCTTCTGGAGTTATCTTAGTGCATAAACATGATGAGTGTTGTATGGCAAGGAATCTTTTGTTCTGTCTCTGTCTCTGGACACCTCGAATCGCCGCAAAAGTCGCCCTTGTAAACGATCCTTTAAACGTATGTTTTTGGTGTCATATATAGTATTAATACTAGTTAATCTGCTTACAGTGTTGCTGAAACATGGGATAATGTACTAACGGGACATGCAGACGTAAAAGAGGTGAGCTGCTAGAGTGCTTCTTGTTCTAAGGAGGACTGAGGTGACCGCCCCTCTCCCCTTCCCAATCMCCTTTCCCCTTCCTCCTCCGCCTCCCCTCCCCCTCCCCGTTCTTTCCACCCTGTGCCAGCTCAGTATCATGGTAGTCAGTTTGATTAATGCTAGGAACCCTCCCATTGAAGAGCTTAAACCTTTCAGAAGCTTCGTTGATATCTCTTTTAAATATAATGGAGTTATCCCATTCTTATTGCAGCTTATACCCGAGTTTTTTCAGTCGTCGGGTGAATTCTTAATCAACAGTCAGGGTCTTCCTCTTGGTGTAAAACAAGACAAAACAAAGGTTATGGACGTCGAGCTTCCGCCTTACGCTAAAGGTAATCTTGATGTAGGGGTACCTTTATTAAGTGATGGGAGACCTTTGGGACCTTACTTGATGTAGTATTAATGAAGGGTGATAAATGGTGTCCGCATATAGGGGTCGATTTAATACTGGTATTACTGTTTTTGATCTGTATTCACTTTCTTAATCTAAGTGTGGTTTTTATGTCACATTTTGGATCTATTGGATTATATTGCGTTGCACACATGATGCGACAATGCGTGCAATTTCACAAAAGTAGAATTATTTCCTAGTTTAGTATAGAGGATTTGATGACAGGAGGCACAACAATAGAATCTTTCTCCCCTGGTAAACTGAAT